ACTCTTTCAAAGTCACAGATTTATAAAGTGATGATATCTGAGTGAATCTGCATCTAATAACAATGACTTCAGTAGGCCTACATTTCCCTGTGATCTATAATTGATGTATTGGCGTTGTCCATTGTAACATTGTTCCTGCTTTTCTCACAGATTCCACCTCAGTGATTGTAATAGCTACAATAGCAGGACTGACAGTTTTTGCTTTAGTAGCTGCTCTCATTGCACTCCTGCTTGAAGAAAAAGTGGTAACTTTTTTTCTTTTGACTTAATACATGCCTTTTATGTGGCTCTTCCTATCAAAATAATTATATGAATTGACTCCAAGAGTCTACATCCACATATATCCAGTAATATCTGTAAATATCTGCAGCGCTGACTTTAAACTGTTTAAATCTGCAGGTCTCCAAATTCAGGACCTCAGTCCTTTAGAACAGCTGTGAGATGTACTGGAACAGGAGATTATCATTCTTTGTGTGGAGCACACAAATCTTCAGCAACTGTGTGATGCTATCAGCTATCATTTGTGTGTGTGTATGCTAAATCCTCACAGGCTAGTCTAACAGTGTTTTACTATTTTTGATTGTATAGAGAGATGAAACCATTGAAAGAGGTCATGAATTATATAGGAAATTCAATTCAATTCAATTTTATTTATATAGCGTCAAATCACAACAACAGTCGCCTCACAGCACTTTTTATCTTAGAAGATGTGATCACCAAACTGGTCCTCTCAAAAAGCAAAACATCATCCACTGTAACGTGTGTCTTTTCGTTTTAGTTCATTAAGTAGTAAAAAAAAAATCTGGTGATCACATATAACCCCGCCTCTTCAATCTTTCAGTGTGAATCACATCAATTACACTTCCTGTTTCTAAACATAATGACCACATAGAAAGCACAGCCTTGTACTTCCAGTCACATGAAAAGCTCCGTTTTTTATTTTCTCTTCCTGTTAGTTCAATTTTTTGAGGTCAAACCCTCAAAACTCCAGTTAACCCTTCTTCAGTCTCTCATACCTGCTAAAAACTGAATAGTGTCACCTTTTCATAAACAGCCTGGGTTATAATTTTTGCTCTATTTTGTGGATGTGAATACATTAAAGCATTTTACACTTAAGTGCTGTGCTGTGCTCAGTGTTGATTTTCTTTTTATAATGTTCATATTTCTCATATTTGTACTTTTTATACAGGATTTGTGTTTATCTGTGTCCCTGTCTTGATGTGAAAGTCACACTGGAGTACAGCATGTAATGTAATGTTGTAGTTTTTGCAC